GAGTTCAATCCACCCCTCTTGAACTCCCTTGCCTTCCAGTACTCTCTCTCAGGAGACTTTCCCCAATCTGGCCTTCAATTGACCAAAATTGGTCCTTGTGAAGTCCCAGCTCCTAGTACTTGACCTGCCATGCATCCACATTTCCCTGATCTCAAAGCAAAGGATGGAGTGACCACTGCATCCAGAGCTCCTCTAATCTACACCCCATCTATCAGCTCCTCCCTGTTGGTCAAGACCAATTCAAGGATATTTCCCCCTCTCATCACCTCCTGAACCCTCTGCATGAAAAACCTTCCCTCTGTAGCATCTAGGAAGCGACATGACCTGGCTGTTGCCACCGAGTGAGTCTCCCAACTAATATCTGGGGAATTAAAATCTCCCATAATTGCCATGTCCCTCCCCTGAGATATCTGTTGAATCTGGTCTGTCAGGGCATTATCCAGTGTCTCAGGTTTATTTGAGGGGCAATAACATACCCCCACTGTCAGGAGTAGACATAGTGGTGGGAAAACACAGTGGAGTTTTAAATGGATGATGGCAATGTCAAGACCCCCTGATATGACAGAATGAAAATCCTTGGTTGAGATAAAATGTCAGGCCTGGCCTTTAGCTTTGTGGGAAGCCACACATTATGGAAAGTCTGGTCAATGGCAGAAGATGCAGTCCAAAGACAGGCTGGTGGCCAGGTCCTGGGCTGGTGAGAACCAAAGAGCCAGAGGCAGACATCTGGTTAAGCATGAACTTTGCCAAGTGGAATGCATCAGGAGTCTCCTGCTGTAACTCAAAAAGACCAGTTCTGTAGCCTGAGGAGTTGTATTTGGGGTAGGAGCTGTACAGAGCCAGAGAGACCCTTTCTGGTTCCTCAAGCCATGTGGATCCAGGGTACTAGAAAATGGCAGTCCCATCTTTGGTCACAGTCCAAAGGGCCCTGCAGCACAGCAGAAGTGGGTTTGCTAAGGGGTACAAGGAATCCAGTTTGAGGTTAGAGATGTATTGGACTTCCCTGGCATGTCTCCCCAGATGCCAGTCTATTTTTTCTTTGCTTAATTCTGACCTGCAATTAATGCTTGTGTGGGCATCCACATACTGCACTTTTGAGATGCAAATGTAACCTTGCTGCAAATGTAGCAGAAGTTATCGGCATTGTTTACACAGTTTCGAGGCATCTTGGCTTCTGAGGGAAAATATCACACAACTGTTCCTTGAAATGTTAGGTGATGACACTTTCACAAACCTCCAGATGTAACTGTATGATATGTAGATCTGACCAAGACAAATGTACCTTGCAATGAAAGAACAATAAATTATAGTTAGGTAATGATCTTTAGTCTCAAAGTGAAGATAAGTTTATACACTTCCTTGTGCTACCATTTCCATTGTTCTACCATACCTTGTCGAGATGTTACGAGGCATCATGATCATCAGACACCTCCCTCCCTTGTAGGCAAATATACTCACCTGTGTATAAAGCTTTATTGTGAAATACCTTGAAAACGTTTGCCAACCAGCACCTTTATCACCTGTTTTCTAATTCATCTAATCAAAATATGTAAGAATTAGCAAATTTTATCTCAGAGGTCAATAATTTCCCAAAAATTGTGGACCAGTGTAATTCAGACATAGAATGGATGCTTTTCATACTGGAGGATCCTGGTTCAATTCCTGCCTTTTAAATGAAAAACATAAGGAAAAAATTATTCAGTTCAGTTTTGACCAGAATGGACTCAGTTTGACCTCCTGGAACCAAGATCAGTATGTGAACTATGGCTGAAAAACACATGTTTAAGCTACAATATGATCTCCCTCCCTCCCTCCCTCTGTGTGTGTGTGTGTGGGGGGGGGGGGCAATCCACAACAAAAACAGTTAATTTGAAAAACGTGTGGGTGGACATATGGAAAAATGTGTACTTTTGTAGAAATTCACAGAAATTCACAAAATTCACAGAATGTGCTGATTTCATAAATGCACATAATGTGCACATTTGGGAAGATGTTTGAAATAGCCACAAATTTATGTATGAAAAGGAGTAAAAAAGCAAAACTTACACTTTGATACAAAAACAAGACTAAACAAGCATCAAAGAAGGAAGCAGGAGAACTTCAATGAGTGAAGGTTTCGCTGATTGTTTCATCCCTCAAAGATAAGAAGTGACAAAGAGGTTCCCAAGCTGAAAAGATGGAGAGCTATTGCCAGTGTGAGAAGTTTGAATGGGCAAATATTCTGGCTTGGGACCAAGCGTCTGCCTTCACTCCTAAGAAGCCTTCTGATGTTCCATCCTTTTGCACCAACAGGGTTGAATCTTTGGAGCTCAAGGGCTAGATTAATTTTGGAATAGTTCTTGGGAGTTCCATTCCAGGTGTGTGTAGCACAGGGAGTGGGGCTGTTGCAAAACTGATGGGCCGCCATTCTAGCCCCTTTTAGCTTAAACCTCTTAGTCGCAATAGCTAAGCTTTCACAGAGGCATTTTGTCCTTGTAGAATGATGGGGGGAAGAAAAACAAGCAAAAGCTTGAAAAGCACCAAATGATGAGGAGGTGAGGGGGAAGAGGTTATTTATTTAGTATTTGGCGATGGAACTATTAGCCAGGAGTCTGCAGTGCTAATACAGAGTAGATGTTTGGTCTCCTTCTGTTCACACTTGCATGCTTATCCAGTGCACACTGCAGGGGGCGAACTAACTCCACACACATGCAGACCAGCTGGTGTTCGGGTTGTCAGTTCATCCGGGCTTCTTCCGTCAATCACACCTCACCTCATGTCCAAGCAGATCCAGTGCTAGCACCTGCTCTCCCCACAAACACAGCTAGCTTTTCCCACCGGTGTGGTGCCCCTTCATCTACTTGCAGTCTTACCTGTGTTTGTGCTTCTGAACTGCTGGGTGGGCAGGAGCTAGAGGCAAATGGTGGGCTGTTGTTCTATCATGCAGTGCTGGGCCCGAACTCCTGGAGTGTTGGCCATTTCTGGTTGACACGTCCAGCATCATTAAGCTGCTGCACCACCTTGCCTCCTTTTGGGGGAGAGGTGGGACCAAGGGAATGAGGTATAGCTCTCGTGGAAACTTGAGAGGGCTGGATTTGCCCTACTCAGATGGGCAGGGTTTGCCTGAGGTTCAGCTCTTCTGCATATGCATTGGAGCCTGCTTCTTAGACAAGGACATATTTCTTGTATTTACCTTCTTTTTGTACTCCATACCAATACCAATGCCAATAGTATTCTCTTTCTCTTTCTCTTAGCTCCCTAAACAGCTTAGAGAACTTGTGAAGGGATGGGGTGTCAGATGCCAGTTTGTAAATGCTTCCTGGAGAGAACAGATCTTTTTTGTCCTTCCCAGCCAGAGTCTCCGAGACTTTGTGGAGGTTGTGTTCTGTTGCCATGGCAGCAGCCTCTTTCAGCATGAATAACTCAAAGATACAGAAGGCAAATTTAGATCCCCCTTTAAAAGAGAGAAGAAAACTCTTCTGTTTTTAAAAAAAAACCCTTCTGTACTCTCATGAGGCTTTCCTTGCAAACACCCAACCAGCATGCATGGTGCGTGCATGCGTGTGCAAGCATGCATGTGCATGTACGTGTGCATCCATGTGGCCTCATCCCTTCTTGATTTAAAAGACTGAGTAACAAGTCATGGTTGTTTAGGCTCCATTCCTACAAAGAAGAGGGTGGGTTCATTTAGTCCATTCAGTGTGGGCTTTGTGGATCATCAGGCACCTTCTGTTCCACTGTCTGTTCATTAATGGAATCAGGTTATTTCCTGACAATGTTTATATACTTTCATGTTTATATACTCTTTTAGGTCCCTGCCATTTTGGTCCTTTATTATGCCCATCTTTGCATGAAAACTTCCCCTCATATCTCCAATTTTCTTGAAGAGATCTCTATTCTTTCCTATTTTATTGTTTTCTTCTATGTCTTTGCACTGTTCATCTAAGAAAGCCTTCTTATCTCTTCTAGCTATTCTCTGGAATTCTGCATTCAATTGGGTGTATCTTTCTCCCTTGCCTTTTGTTTCCCTTCTTTCCTCAGCTATTTGTAAAGCTTCCTCAGACAGCCATTTTGCTTTCAGGAATTTCTTTTTCTTTGGGATGGTTTTAGTTGCTTTGGGTTGGTTTTAGTTGCTACCTCTTGTACAATGTTGTGAACCTTCGTCCATAGTTCATTCTTTCTGGCCCTACTAGCCCTCTGCTCTTCCCCAGTGACACATTGGACACCTTCTGACTTGAGGGGCTCATCTTCCAGCGTCATATATCTTTGCCCTTTAGAACTGTCCATGGGGTTTTCAGGGCAAAGATAATGGAGTGGGTTGCCATTTCCTTCTCCATTGGATTACCTTTGGTCAGCGCTCTCTGCTATGACCTGTCCATCTTGGGTGCCCATGCACAGCACAGCTCATAGCTTCATTGCACTGCACAAGTCCCTTCACCACGGGTAGGCAGTGATGTACAAAAATTTTAGTCAGGAGCTGCATCGCATCATAGTAAGTGTGCAAATTGCAGAATACCTGTGTTCTCACCTTCATAATTTACTTGGAAGGGTAAAGTATGCAGCATAGGGCCACAAGGATGGTGGTCGGATTGCAGGGAAAGCCGTATGAAGCGAGACTGAAGGAACTGGGTCTTTTCAGCCTGGAGGAGACCCTGAGATGATTTGTTGGTGACATATAGGTATGTGAGGGGGTGTCACACGGAGGTTGGTAGAGACCTGTTCTCCCCTGCAGAGGAGGGCAGGACTTACTCCAATGGAGCCAAACTCAAGGAACCAAGGTTCAATTTGGATGCCACTGTTCCTGACAATTAGGACCCCCTAGGATATGGAATGGGCTTCCACGAGAGGTGGTTGAAGCCCCATCAGTGAGGGTGTCCAAGGATAGACTAGACATGCACATGATAGGCATCTTGTGAGCGGAGCCGGCTGGAGCCGGGGGTCAGACTAAGTGGCCTGGGAGGCCCCTTCTGACTCGCTCTGTTTCTATGTTTCTAAATGTTTTTCTCTTTCCATCCCCACAGAAACCTCTCTAGTAACCGGCTGACAACTCTATCCTGGCTGCTCTTCAAGACTCTGAGACTTATTGAACTGTAAGTTTTAAGTTTAACAGGGTTGTTCTGTTTCACTTCTGTGGGGTATCGTGCATTATTGGTAATGCAGCTGATAGCATCAACGCATAGACATTCTATGGAACTGGCTGGTGTTGAAAATGGCACTCCCTCCTCTTCTGGAAAGTGTAGTTAAAACTAAGGATGGGCTGACAATGGGAAGCCTGGCACATCTGAGCATGGGGACTTCTGCCCCTTTCCAATCTCATCAGTCTCACAAGAGGATGCAGCCTGAGTTTAAAGGGGAGGTTTCCATGGTATTCTCTCTGCAAGAAGGGCCGTGGTTTGTGCATTTTTAAAAAAAATGCTTAGTAAATGTGCACAAAGTGTGCAATTTGCAGTATTTGTGCAAATGGGGAGCTTAAAATTGTATAATTCTGACACCGTTTGTGCAAATAGCATTATTTGTTCATGTTCCCCTCCACACTCCCTCTCAGCAATGCCACCAACAAGCTGGAAACCAGGCGAGTGACTCATGAATATCCACTGAATTTTCATTCCCATCAGATTCCTTACATGTGCACAACTTAATTCTTGCCCATGTTCTGTGAGAGAACATTTTGCACTTCAGCACCAACGGCAGCAACAGCCAATGATGAATGTGCAAAGGTTGGCGGATGGAAGATGCATGGTGGTTGATCTTGGCTACGGGGTAAATATTGCATGGCAACCTGGAAAAGGAGGAAGATTGTCATGGGGATTCCTGCTTCCACTGACAGTTCATTGCATGGACGGCCAACCAGCGTTGATGTCCAGTATGATGTTGTGGTTAAGGATGCTGGACTGCAACTCAGCAGATCTGCATTCCAGTCACCCACTTAGCCATAGGTGACTCCAGGCCAGTCAAGGACCCTCATCCTACCTTATCTCACAGAGTTGTTGTGAGGACAGAATGGTGAAGAGGAGCGTCTTGTGAGCCACCTTGGGTTCCTTGCAAAAGGAAGAAAATTGGGATATAAATGCAATGCTTAAGAAAGAATAGGAATAGTAGGAAGGATTCTTAATAGGGCCATACTGGAAATAGTTTGATAAAAGAGAAAATGTGTTCAAGCCCTGCATTGACAAAATCTAGTATCTGTTTGCATGACCAACATGTTAGGATAGATGACGGATTGGGAAAGTGTGGTGGATTTCGGGGCCAATCCCTCCCTGAAGTCTGTACCTTCTTACAGTGCTGCAACGTTCCTGGAACAGCAACAGCATGTCCAAAGAGAAAGGGGCTCTCAAAACGGCCACTTCAGATGTTATTTTTCATGTTTCACAATGGAAGTGGGGTGAGGGGGGATGAGGGTCACTGCTGGCAGCAACGGTTGCACTCTATGGCCTGCAGACAGCATGTAGCCCACTCCTCGGATAGCTCCCTGCAAGAATTCCTGGACAAGTAGAAGCACCGGAGTTTTTCCTCTAGTTTTTCCCTAGAGAGCTGTGCAAACAAATAGTGGAAAGACAATCTCAGCAGGTCACTGTATGCCTGACTGAATGCAATGCAAGTGTCTGTGAGCATATGGCCCATATCTGTGGGGTTTAATTGGGATGTGTGGAACAAGCTCCCAGGTTTCTGCCTTCTGCCCAGCTCATGGTGTTGGACAGCTACTGAAACTGCACCAAGCATTTGGAATGCCCTTAACTTCCCAGGCAACTTCTCTGCATGTGTACATCCACATCCACCCACTCATGCCCTTCTCCCCTCTCCACTGGAAGCACCATTTCTTGAAAAAATAATGTGGATTTTCTTGTCCCTATGGAGAGTGCAGCAGTGGGCAAATCAAACTCTCACGCAGTCTCAGTGGTTGTTCCACAGATGCCCTTTGCTTCAGAGGTGACACTTACAGTGTGCTTTAGCACTGCAAGTTAATTTCACCTTGGCATTGATGGGGTTTCTCTGTATTTGCTGGGTAGAAAGCACATGCTTCAGAGCTGCAGCACTTCGCAATGATATGTCTGAGCTGCTTGTGCACTAGCTACCACATCCAGCCAGCAGCAGATTTTCTTCTTCTGGAAGAAATTAAATTGGATAGAATCTGACACAAGGAGGGATCATGATACTTGCCCGTATCAGTAGAAAAATGCTATCTCAACTGGAGAGCAAACCTAGTGGTTTACTGCAGCATCCTTGTTCTTAGGGATGTGGGAACTTTGCAAATGAAACCTTCATTATGTTGAAGGATTTGTGCTTCCTGAGAACAGATTTGGCCCTTTGGAAAAGGTGCCAAAACAAATTGTGCTTGCACAGAATCCCTGTTGGGTGTTAACCAACAAATACTACAAATTAATGTACAAGTTACTGCACATTAAGCTGATGACATTTATTTGTAACGTGTAACTGTTTTTAAAAATACAAACCTATGGTAGCAATTACGGGAGGCTTGAAACTTATTCATATTTGTGTGGGCATTGTGCATGGGTGGGCAGGCAGGTATTTTTGTGTTGGCTTCTGAATTCAATTAATGTTTGGTCATCCCAGTAGGTTATACAAATCAATAAAATTAGCAATACATGAGTTGCACTTTAAATGTGATTTTAATATTTATGTATTAATATAACCCAATTAGAGATGTTTCAATACTTACCAGTGTAGAAACATTACAAGTACAAGAAATAAGTCTTTTGGCAGTTCATTAAATGTCTACCATCAAAAAAGCTGGGCCCATTTTTGCATGTCTCCCACAAATTCAACCACTTTATAAAAGTAATATTTATTTTATTTGTGCTGCAAGTATTGTGGGAAGATATATTGATTTGCATTAGGTAGCATATGCAGCATGCCTAGCAGCCATTTCCGCCACATCCCAGGGGTGCCTAGATATTGGGCACAGTGAGAAGAGTCTTCCACTGGGGTGCACATCTCTCTCGCAGTTATGTTACTGGCACTTTCAAATGTGCTGTCACCAAACAGTGGAGAGGCATTACCTGGAACTTTGGTGTTTGAGATACTAAACTCCCATGCTTGTGCATTGTCATGAACTGCACACCAGAAAAAGTAGAGACTTGTTGACTTCTCTTCCGCACAGAAACTGAAGTACTTACCCTGCTGCTGCATGTGAGAGAGGCTCACGTCTCCCCTGAGGCTTAGCAGGTCGGCAGCCTCTTGAATTATAGATAAAGCATTTCAACGCTGCATGAGAAGAATAAGCGGACATGAAATCAATGGAGTGCTGCCCTGGTGACCTGTTTTGTTGAGTCTTTGAAATACGTGTGTGTTGGAAATAAAAGCATATATGTTATGTAGGATTCATCCCAGAGGATCATGGGAATATTCCATTCATCCTCACTTGTGATCAATAAATGAGAACTGACTCAGGGAAGACTAAAAACCAGCTCCTTAAGTGGGAGCCAGTGTGTTATCACCACTGTAACTGCAGCACACACACAGATCCCCCATCATGTTATGTGGAAAAAAAAGATAGATGGTAATATTGGAGAAATAATGCAACCCCCATAGTCAGGGGAAAGGTCTGGCTGAAGTGCTGGATTTGGAATTCAGCACTTGTGCTCGTGGAAGCTCAGATGTTTTCATGCCCTGGATTTAGATAGTGGTTTAAAGCAAGCAAGTGGTTTGTGGCATTAGATTTCTCTACCACCCAAGGTTAGATGTAGGGAAGACCCATATGGAGGAGGGCCTGTGGCTCCATGGTGGGACACACTGGTCAGGAGCAGAGGCCCTCCAGCCCAATCCCTGCAATCCTCATCAAAATCACCTAGGATGACAGAGGTGGGTGAAGATCCTTTCCTGTCTTCTCAGAGAGCTGCTTCCCTCAAAAGAAGAGCTGGTTGTATCATTAGGGAGAGTAAAGCAATCACATCAGGCAGCAGATGCTGGAAGGGAGCAGCAACAGGAGAAGCAACTCTCTGCACGTGGGCATAGCAGTTTGCGCCATGCAGCTGATGGTACACTAACCTTGTTTCCTCAGATGTGGTGACCGTGGCTTTCAGAAAGCAACCATGCACAGCACAAAGACCTCTCACATAAGAACACAAGGAGAGCCCTGCTGGATGAGACCCAAGGTCCATCTAGTCCAGCAGTCCATACACACAGTGGCAAACCAGCTGCCCACAGGATCCCTCAAGCAGGAGGGTACAAGACATCCTCCTGCCCAAGCTCCTCAGCAACTGCCGTATGCAGGCATGTGGCCACTGGTAAAGGAGGAAGCACATAGCCAGCAAGGCTAATAGCCACTGATATCCTCCTCCCTCATGAATCTGTCTGATCCCCTTTAAAAACCTTCCAGATTGGCAGCCGTCACCACCACTTTTCATGAATTCCACAATTTATCAATACACTGTGTGAAGAAGGACTTCCTTTGAGCTGTCCTAAACCTCCCACCAATCAGCTTCATGGGATGACCCTAGCTTTGAGTGCTATGGGAGAGGAAGAAAAATGCCCCCTTCTCCTCCCTGGACAGACTATGGAAGTGGGCAGGTGACAACAGGTTGGCATTTAATGTGGATAAGTGCAAGGTCTTGCACTTGGGGCATAGGAATGGGTGTCATAAGTACAGGTTAGGGGACAAGTGGCTGGAGAGCAGCACGTGTGAAAGGGACCTTGGGGTGCTGGTTGACTGCAGGCTAAACATGAGTCAGCAGTGTGATGCGATGGTCAAGAGGGCGAACGCCACCCTTAGTTGCATAGCCAGGAGTGTGGCTTCTTGATCAAGGGAGGTATTACTACCACTCTATATGACTCTGGTGAGCCCACAGCTGGAGTATTGTGTTCATTTCTGGGCTCCACATTACAGGAAGGATATGGCCAGGTTAGAGTCAGTGCACTGAAGGGCCACAAGGATGGTGGCCGGATTGCAGGGGATGCTGTATGAGGCGAGACTGAGGGAACTGGGTCTTTTCAGCCTGGAGAAGAGGAGACCCCGAAGGGATTTGTTGGCAACATAGTATGTGAGGGGGTGCCACATGGAGGCGGGTAGAGACCTGTTCTCCCCTGCAAAGGAGGGCAGGATACCCTCCTATGGAGCAAAAGTCAGGGAACC